TTTGTTGTGGATTTTTATTAAGCTTATTCCCCTAACCAGTTTGTACAATTTATCTCGTTTCATTTTTTATTTTTTTTTGTAAACGGATACGTTAGGTAATCTTTGACTTCACATAGTCAATCGATATAACCCTCACACGAGATAATTTTCTTATGAAATTAAGTCTCAGACGTCTATGTCTAGACTTACTATTGTAAAAACTACTTTGTACTCTTTCAATTTCTGATTGATAAATAATCATCACCATGAGCACAATCTATTCCACCTAGGAATATCTTTTAGAAAATTTCTAAGTCATTAGCTTCATCCACACCCTTTGCCAAAATTTATAAACTCGAACTCCATTGTGGATCTAGCTTTATACTTAGATTATTTTCATGAGACTACTCTACCCACCTAAAGTGAACACTTATTAACTTTTAGTCTTAGAGTTTTTCATCTCCAATACTCGTTCAACGTGATCAAAATTCATCGCTCGAGTTACTCGTGAACATTCTTAGTTTACTCGCTTAAATGCAACATTGGGGCGAGTACTATCCGACAAGCACCTCAAGCCTCCAATTATTCAGCATACTTTTTCAGAAAAACTAATTATTCTCGAATTATTAGTTAAGTGTAGAGTCAATTCTACATTCACTTTAGTTTGAGGTTTTATCGAACTCATTGAACCTCTTCAATATACATTTGACATGATGAGATTGTGTCAAACAATTACTTCTGATCTCTTAGAAACTTAATCTCCAAAATTACATCGGAATTTCACAAACTTTATATGTCAAAGTTTATCTTCATGGTATTCATGAACACATCATGATTATATTCCAAGATCATCATATTGTCTACAGAAGACTTACGATCACAAAGAGTCAGAAGAACCTTCATAGACTCATCACAAAGAGTCAGAAGAACCATCATAGACTCATTTTCTTATTCAATGAATTTGAAATCATTCGAAAAAATTATTTCAACAAACTTTTCATATCACTAATTAGGCATGTCTACCTTGGCATAAACACCCCCACATTTCAAGGTATAGGTACGAATGCTTTTGCTCTTTTTATAACTCAACCGGAGTTTCGCATCTACCTTTGTGTGGTGCTTTCCATGCCCAAACACCCTCACATTTTAAGATATAGATACGAATGCTTTTGCTCTTTTTATAACTCAAACGGAGTTTCGTATATATCTTCGTGTGGTGCTTGCAATTTTGTCGAAATAATTGCTTATCACATAAGCATTTAGATTAATAGGAAATTGTCACCTACTCATGAGTGATTATTTCTTTTAACTATTTCATTGAATATCAACATCATCATTATGAATCAAAGCTACAAAAGCTTTATGCCAATACTTTGTGCATTCTTATAATATATTTCCTACTCGGGTCACACAAATCCTTAAATCACATTTACCGATATGACTTATCTCGAGAGGACTAGTGAATTAAGCAATCGTTTATTACGATGCTTTTGACACTTTTCATTTTAACACAATTTTCATATTTGCTGTATGAATCAATTCTAGATTCACTAACTTTTAGTGTTAAAATTTACAAGTACTAATTTATCATGCCACAAATTAGAACACTCAATAAATAAGACCAACTTATTTATTGATTATTATTATTTTTGGTCAATCAATAGATTACAATTTTTACAATAATTGTAATATGACCTTTATTAAGGTCTCCTTATGCAAAGAATACATCATATTTCGACATATTTGTCGATGATCACAAACTAATCTAAATTCGGCCTTACTCAATTAATGGTCTGAAAACTAGATTCTTATAGATGCCTTGGGCACAAAGAACATCCACGATATCCAATATTAATTCTTAGCATACTACCTTGTCGGTTCGTTCAATACTTAAAGTCGAAGAATTACACAAATACTTTCTTCATTAGTTAGGGTTGTAGGTCAACATTTATAAGCGCTAATGGGTCAAGTGGATCTTGTTCTTATCCGCTATAAACGTGGAATTTTAATCAAGTATGTACTCGAACCACGACGAAAAGATTGAGCTCTAACAAGTATTATCTTGTCCTTGACAATTCGCACTATCCTTTACCCTTTTCAGAAGTTAGTAAACTTAGGCAAGGTACCTGGGTTTGTCATCATCTTAATGACATCCCTTAGATTTTTTAACTTGAGCTATACACATTATATAATGTATTTTCTAGTCCGTTAAGTATTAGATTCCTACACAAGAAATCACTTTGATGCCAAACATCCAAGACCATACGTTTTTGGACGTTAGTCTCACTTTCGGGGACGATCAAAGAGTCCTCCAAAAGTAAACAAGAGAAGGAGAGAGTTGTGAGGTAGTAAAACATCCTTTGCTGCCACCTCTTCAAAACAGAGTTATTGAACTTCGATAGACTCTCGCCATGGACTGGAGCAACTACCCTCAATAGACTAGTACTCGGTATAGTGGTCGATTGAGCACTTGAAGAACACGTTTGGTTTCCTTCGGTTGCCATCTTATGAACTCACAAAAAATTTCGTCTTAAGATTGTAGTTTGTGTTATTTGTGAATATCAAAAAGAAGGCTTAAGAAGAATGAAGAAAAACGGAACAAAAATCAAAGTCGAGGCACGTAATAATTACGTTCTCCTTAAGACGAAATTGCCCCGTAAAATACCCACGGTTAACGGCAAACGCCTCCAAGATACAACGACTTTCGACTTGTATATAGCGGTACTTCAAATATACAAGCCTTCGGCGAAGAATACTATTTTTTGAAACTCTCAAGACTCAATGAAAAAATCATAGACCACAATATGCTATATGATCTTTGAAAAATAATGCAAGAGCTCTCTAATTTTCATTTTGTGAATAATTTCATGTTAGTGGGTATTTATAGATGTAGGGAATCACCTTCAAGAGGTTTAAGTGTCAAAAGATACTTTTTGGGACGTGTCCGAACGAGAACGGATGCATCTAGTGGCCAAAAGATATCTTATGTTCACTAAGGATTGCGAACCTTTGATTTCCGCAGCCAGTTGCGCGCCCGTGCGCAGCGGGCTCGTACGAGCTCATACGGACTCGGAATCGAGTTCTGTTTTTTCCTACTTGTCCCCAACAAGCCCCTCTACAATTCTAGCATACATAATGCATAATTATGGCTCGTTTAGTTTGTCCAAAACAGAATGTTTTGTGAACTCTACAACATTTGAGTTATTAAACTCAATTATTTAACATATAACACTTAGAATTAATTTCTCATTCACCTTAAAAGGGTTTTGAGAATTTCCTAAGTCTTATATTTACGAAAAATAGAATCATTAAATCGGTACAAAATCAATTCTTCTTACAAAAATTATATATTAGTTGATACACAATGAATTAGAGTTGATGTGATGTAGGAATGAATGATTAATAATATTTTCATATATTGGTAATATCGAGAATAATAAGATTGAGTTAAATTTTGAATTAAAGTGCGAAAAAAAAAACTGATCCAATCAGAACTATTTTAATCCATTTTTTTGATACAAAGAGAGGAGGCTAATGCCTAGAACTATGAGACAGTTATGTGCCGCGGATACGCAATGCCAATAAGGTCATGCTGTAGGCACGGTTTAACTTCTGACGGTGGGTCGGATAAACGATGGCAGCCACTAGGACCACCATGGGCAAGAGACGCCAAACAGTCAACCGCAAAGTTAGCTTCGCGATAGCAATGAATCACTTTGGCCTCCCAATCGCGAATGAGCAGTTCCCTAATAGCCCGAACCAAGGTACCATGCACTCCAAGCTCAGTTGAGCCCCCATTTGCCATTGTCACCATACTTTTGTTATCTACTTCAGTGGTAAGATTACGGCACCCCAAGTCCTAGGCAAGAAGCAAACCTTGGAAAAGGCCGCATAGCTCTGCTCCTGTAATTGAACAATACCCAATAATCATCACAAATCCCCCAAGCCAGCGACCCCGTGCATCACGAACTACTCCGCCGGCCGCTGCCATCCCGGACGTAGTAAAAAAAGAGCCGTCCGTGTTAGCTTTGACCGTTACCTCAGCAGGAGCCTCCCATCGAATAAAATGCACTCCACGCCCCACCCCAAGGCTACGTAGGTTCGTCTCGACCTATATAGCCTCCCGGATTTTTTGAGCGACGATAAATTCTTTATCAGCGAAAAGTTTTTCATTCCGGCCCAGGCAGATGTGCCATGCCATGACCCCAAAGGTGGTTTCCTACCCTACAACACCAATGCCCAAGCCGTTTTGCAAGTTCGGGATCAACCACTCCCGTTGATGTAAGCGAAAGAATTCGGGCTGTTGTGCAATTCGAAGACAATGTATGGTCGATTCATCATCACGGCCACACAATGGGCACGCCCACGAGTCTGAGATATGGCGCCTCCGCCACTCGGCATTAGTGAGCAATTTATCGTGGGCGGCAAGCCAGAGGAATTGATGAAGCCCAAATGAACGTATCTTTTTCGGGGCAAAGTCGATGCTACCCCGTGGGGTAGTGCCCGCATGGGATTTTTAGCCACACGTGCGTGAAATTTGTGGCTAAAAACTCATGGAGGCGGCAGCCAACGTAGTGAAATTCCGCCAAACATCTAACCATAACATGAATGCTTCGAATTACGGTTGAACAACTCAGCTGTTTATCTGCACAACAGGCCTAAAAAGGGATCTGCAATAAACTGGACCTGCCAACCTAATTTCTAAGTTTGAATCCATATTCATATGCGTAGAGATCTCTGATCTTCTCACAATCCTATCTTTTCATGTATTAGCTATAATCAGTAAATAAAAACAACTGTTTTAAACAGAAGAACATTTATGCATTCAGAGTAAACATAATGCCACATTAATACACTTTTATCTTTGCTAAATGAAAACATCCCCAAAACAGATGGTTAATTCCAATTCGGACCATTTAGATAAGAATAAAATAAAAATTAATTAAACTCCTCATAACCCAACAGATCTTATAAAACCTGTCCAATGGCCGCTTCTACGTTAGCAGCACACATTCCACGCAATGGCGGCCAAACAGCAAAACATCCCCACCATTAGGGATGAGAGCTACTACAAGGCCACGTGGGCCCACCGGGCCTGGTTCGTCGCCGGCTGCGTCTCAGTCCTCACGTGCCTCGCCAAGTCCATTCTCATCATGGTCACCGAAAGTACCAAAACGCCCTTCGCCCTTTTCGCCTGGCTTCTGGCCGCTACCGGCGGCTACGCCATGGCGGACCTCGTCTCCGGCGTCTACCACTGGGCCGTGGACAACTACGGCAGCGCCCACACACCCGTCTTCGGGTCCCAGAT